CTAAGGAACTTGGTGAAGCAACGAAGGATCTCAATCGATTTTGGTGATTTTGACATCTTTAATTCATGTAATTGAGTTTTTCATTATTAAACAATTTTAGAATCGAATTTCCATATCTTGAATATGTTTTTGACATTAGTTTAACAATTATTAGAATTTTCATAGATTCAGTCATGCTTTCTCTATCGAATATTCGAAATACTTGTTGAATTACAATTTGAATTATTTATTGTTGAGATTATTTTAACTTCTATCAAATCCTTCATAGATCTAGCCATGTTCCTTCTATCGAATGATTGAAATAATTGTTGAGTTTTAATTTTAATATTACTTTATTGGCGAATTGATTACTGCCTTATGCTTGATGTATATTGTCGATCTTTGATCTTGTTCCAATAAAAAAATGTGCTAATGTGTTATAGAAAATATAGATTCTAGCAATATAATTGGAATTAAATTGGACTTTATTGTTAAATCTTCCGATTAGAGAGTTGGGAAGAAAATCTCTAATTGAGGAAAAATACATGAATTATTGATGTCGATTGATCCAATCCATTGGGGGAATTCCGACGCTTCACTTATATCGCATATTGATGATTAATTTTTATTCCAAGTGACAAATCATTCCCACATAAAATTACAAAAACCCTAGTTTGTTTGATTTTTTGAGAAAATTTCCATCTCCCTGTGGATACGACACTTCAAAGCTGTACTACAATCATCGCGTTATGCTTTGGGCGTAATCAATTTTGGCGCCGTTGTCGGGGAGATGGTACAAGTAATCAAGGGATCGACCGAAAAAGGGTGAGAAAACCCTAGTTTGTTTGATTTTTTGAGAAAATTTCCATCTCCCTGTGGATACGACACTTCAAAGCTGTACTACAATCATCGCGTTATGCTTTGGGCGTAATCAATTTTGGCGCCGTTGTCGGGGAGATGGTACAAGTAATCAAGGGATCGACCGAAAAAGGGTGACATCGTTCCTTTTCCTTCATTTTTATTTAATTTAATTTTATTTTTTTAGTGTTATTTTTATTTTATTTTCACATTTTCTTTGTTTTTTTTTTTTTGTGTGTGTTTGATGAGCAGGGATCGAGGCAATCAGGGGAGTTCTACTGGAGCACCTTATCCAGTGTTTGAATCTCAATATAACCCTTATTTTGTTATTGCATCAATTGCCAAGAACACCTCAACACATAACACTATGTCTAATAGTGAACATGGCAATGTGTCTTATAGGACTTTGCATGATTATTTGCACCCCACACGTACATTCACACCATCATGCATAATATTTCCGCCCAATATGCCACGTATGGAACTAAAATCGGGAATGATTCAACTTCTTCCCACTTTTCATGGACTTGACAGTGAAAACCCATACGTGCATATTAGGGAATTTGAGGAGGTAGTTGCAACCTTCCACAATCAATATGGTACAAAGAATGCAGCCAGGTTAAAATTTTTCCCGTTTTCACTTAAAGAGAGAGCAAAAACCTAGCTATATTCGTTGAGACCACGTTCAATTGGTACATGGGCTGAAATGACGCAAGCATTTTTTAATAAATACTTTCCCCACCATAAGAGTAGCGCCCTTAAGAAGCAAATCTTATCTTTTACCCAAAAAGATAGTGAGACCCTATATCAGGCTTGGGAGAGATTTAAAGAACTACAAGCCCTTTGTCCTCACCATGGTTATGAGAGCTGGCATATAGTAAGTTACTTTTAAGAGGGATTAACACCTAGGAAACGTCAATTCGTAGAGATGATGTGTAACGGTGATTTCCTGCAAAAGGATCCGAATGAGGCCATAGAGTATCTAGACGATCTTGCTGAGAAAGCTCATACTTGGACAGGACCTAGCCCTATTGATAGTACCAATAGGCAATGGCGAATCCAGGATTCAAGTTCAGCTAGGGCGGTTTGATTGTTGACCGATGATCGTTGACTGTCGACAATCATAATTGTTCGATCGTTTATTAAAATTTGGTTACATAATATTAAAAGTTATTCAATATATATGTAAATGAACTAAAACGTCAAAATCGTATACATATGAAAATATACTTCGATACAACCCAAAATAGTAAAAAAAAAAAATACGATACAACCTTACTCAGTTACTCTGTAACTGTAAACTTAGACAACTGTATTCTACGGGGTCTCATAATTTGAAAATGTTGCAATATTACCTCATTCTCAATTTGTTTAAAAACAGCTTTCTCCACGTAAACCACCAAATTGTCATTCAACCAGATATCACCCATTTTGTTGCGCAAATCACTCTTGATTAGATTCATAGCAGAAAATACCCTTTCAATACTTGCAGTTGCCACAGGTAATATCAAAGCCAAGGTGAGCAACCTATAAACCAATGAAAAATAACAGGAACTTCTAGTTTCAATCAACTTCTGAGCTACACAGGATATACTATTGAGATTAAAGAAAGCTTCGTCCATTCTCACAAGCAAAAGAAACTTATCAAGCTGAGGTCTAAGTAATAAAAGTTCTTCACTATTGAAGTCCAAAGGATAGAACTGAGCAAAACGTAGCAATTTATCCTTATCAAAAGCTGCAAATGAATCTCTTGGACTTAAACATGAAATGCAAGTAAAGAGCTCAGTAGTTGTTTCTGGAAATCGATCATTCAACTCTTGCAAGATTGAGTCTATCACATGACAATACAAATCAACATAAAAGCGATGAAAATAAGTCACCTGTTGAGCTACACGCCTAGGTCGACCTTTCACCACTACAATATCCTCCATATTAGGCACTAAAATATGTCTATCAACACAAAACTCAATCACCCTACTGAATAAAGTATCCCAACCATTCTCTCTCAAGTTCTGCAATGCACACTTACACAAATTCAATAACCTCATAGCATTCTGAATATCCT